GTCCGGCACAGCCAGCCCGCGAAATCCACCTCCTCCACCTCGGAGCGCTTGATGAACGTGTGGCTCTGCAAGCACAGGGGAAAACAGGGTGAGGAAGAGCCCAAAGGAGCAGCCCAGATCCCAAAAAGCCAGCCCTGTGCTGTGGGATATGCCCAGGAGAGGAGGGGAAGATCCTGAGGCAGGGAAAGAGGATTTGGAGAAAATATTCCTCCCACCATCACAGGGAGGAATTCCTGCCCAAGATCCCACCCAGCCCTGCACTTCCCCTGGATAAAGGGGGTCAGTCCCTCATCCTGAGCTCAGCCTGGGAATTCCCAGCCTTTGGAGCAAGAGGGATGGGGCAGAGCTGGCAGAGCTACCAGAAAAATCCTCTCCCCACTCACCATCAGCATCTTCAGATCTGCTCGTTCTGCTGGGTTCTTAATTAAGCTGAAATGAGAAGAACAAGAAGAGAGGGAAGCCAAGGTGAGATTCCATGTGGGGATCAGGCTGGAGAAGCCCCAGCTTCCCCCAGAGCCCCTCAGGACCCTGGGAGAGGGATCCCTGCCAGCCCAGCTCCCAGGCAGAGCTGCAGCATCCATCTCCTGCACACTGTGGGGACAAACTGTGCCCTGCCAATGGAGACGAGGCCCTAAAGCTTGGCAGCAATCTGGGGTTTAATATCCAATCTCTGCCTCACTGGGAGCTCTGGCAGCACCTTCAGGTGTCCCCGTGCCCACGGGGTGACTCAGCCCCAGGAGCTGCTCTGCCACCCCCCTTGCCAGGCTCACATTTAGAAGGAGCTGGGATCCTGCTCAGCAGCCCCACAAATAATAAAATGCTTTTATTGCAACCCTTCCCAAGGCAGGAGCTCCCAGCACGACGTGGGATCAGGCAGGGAGAGAGAGAGAGATCAGGCAGAACACAGAGGGTGGAGCTGCAGAGCTGTCAAGGAGCACGTCCAAGGCTCCACCTTCAGCCAGGAGATGAAATCCTCACCATTTATTTACAAACTCCTGGAAATCTTGCGTGAAGACTCCGCTCGGCAGCTTGGGAGGTGGCTGTGGAGAGAAGGAAAAGGGGTTCCTGCACCATTCCTGTGTTACTGGGCCAAAAATCAGTGTCAGGGAGCTGTGCTCTACAGCCACTCTCATCCTCCTCATCCTCACTGCTTTTCCAGCCAGGAAAACCCTTCCCTGCCACTCCCTCCTCTGCTGCTCCAGCTCGTTCTGCACCCACACTGAACCCCTGGGAAAGCTGGGAAATCACCAAGCATCCCAATCCTAAATCCAACCTCACAGATCCCAGCTCTGGCCATGCCTGGGGCTGATGAAACAATCCCAAAATGAGAATTTTCCATCGCTGTGTTGGTGAGAGCTGGCCTTGCAAGTTGGGTATGGCCTTAAACTGAGGGAGGGAAGGTTTAGATGGGATTTTGGGAAGAAATTCCCCCCTGTAAGGGTGGGGAGGAGCTGGGATGGGATTCCCAGAGCAGCTGTGGATCCCTGGCAGTGCCCAAGGCCAGGCTGCAGCAGTGGGACAACGGGAGGTGTCCCTGCCATGACAGGGGTGGCACTGGATGAGCTTTCAGGTCCTTCCAACCCAAACCATGTTGGATTCCATGAGTGACCAAACATTCCAGACCCCAGCCTGACCCAGCAGAGCAGAACATCCCTGAGGAAGCCCTGGGGAAGCAAACACCCACCTCGTTAACGATGTAATCCAGCAGCTCAAAGATGGCCATGGCAGGCCTGGTGTCCATCCCGTGGCCTGGGGGGTGACACGACACAAACGGTGCTGAGAGGCTGCTCAGGGCTCAGTTTGGGATGAAAAACACAACTTTGGGGGAGCTCTGCAGGGAGAGGCTGAGGCAACTCCCAGGGAAACTGAGTCATTAAATAGAATCTAGTTCATTTCCAGAATTTGGATTTCTTTCACCAGACCTCCAGATTTATTGTTGGACAGCACCAGACCATCTACTCTGGCTGCCTGGCAGCACTTCCAGAGCCTTCTGCTCCCAAGGAAACGGCTCCAGCAGAGCATCCCTGGAATTCTGGAGCTGTTTGGTGCTTCTGTGAGAGCTCCCAGCAGAGCTCTTCCCAAAAAGCTGCCTGAGAAGAACCTGCTGAGAAGAACCGGGGCTGTGACCACGTCCCTCAAACCATCCTCTCCACGGGAGCCACATTCCGTGCCCACAGCCTTTTTGTGGCACACAGGAGGATCTCAGGAGCCCACGGACAGACCCCAAATCCATGCTCAGAGTCCCTCCCCACCTCGATTCCACCAACCTGGTGTCGTGCAGGAGCCAAAGTCGCCTTCCCTAGCGGCGCTCCCAGCAGAGCCTCCTGCAGGGCAGCTCCCCCAGCCACCCCAACCCCGCAGCTCCCCCATGGAAGCGTTGCTGCCGATGCACACCACAGCCCCTACCACTGACGGGGCGTCCTGGGGGCCTGGCCCGCGGCGAGATGCTGGGGGACTCTCCCTCCGCCCCGTCCACCACAGGACGGCCAAAAATTGCTTCCAGTTCCTTGGAGTCTGGCGGGGGGATTGGGTACCTTCCGATCGACAGCTCCACCAGGGACAGCCCCATGCTCCAGATGTCCGACTGCACCGAGTAGTGCGTGCCCTGCAGGCGCTCGGGCTGCGGGAGAGGAGGGGACAGTGGGAATGGGGATAATGGGAATGGGCATGGGGATAATGGGGAGAGCCCTGCAGGCGCTCGGGCTGTGGGAGAGAGATGGGGATGGTGGGAATGGGAATGGGGATAATGGGGATAATGGGAATGGGCATGGGGATAATGGGGAGAGCCCTGCAGGCGCTCGGGCTGCGGGAGAGAGATGGGGATGGTGGGAATGGGAATGGGAATAATGGGGACAATGGGGACAATGGGGAGAGCCCTGCAGGCGCTCGGGCTGCGGGAGAGGAGGGGACAGTGGGAATGGGGATAATGGGAATGGGCATGGGGATAATGGGAATGGGCATGGGGATAATGGGAATGGGCATGGGGATAGTGGGGATAATGGGAATAATGGCACTGGGAATGGGGATAATGGCACTGAGAATGGGGATAACAAGGATAATGGCACTGGGAATGGGGATAATGGAACTGGGAATGGGGGATAATGGGGAGAGCACAGGGGGATGGGGATAACTGGGATAATGGCAATGGGAATGGGGATAATGGTGAGAGAACAACCAGGGCTCAGGGAGAATGGGAATGGGCGATAATGGCACTGGGAATGGGGATATTGGGGATAATAGCACTAGGAATGGGGATGGGGATAATGGGGAAAGCACAGGGAGGGGCTCAGAGAGAATGGGAACAGGGATAATGGCACTGGGAATGGGCAATAATGGCACTGGGAATGGGCGATAATGGCACCCAGGGCACAGGGAATGCAGGGTGACATGGAATGCCGGTCCCCAGAGCATGGGAACACCCACTGCCATGGGATATAGACCTCCCAGGACACAGGAATGTGGGCTAACATGGGATAGTGACACCAAATACAAATATCCTGTATTGGTGAGACTCAGACTCCAGTGCCTAAAGGGGCTCCAGGGGAACTGGAGAAGGACTCTGGACAAGGGACAGGACACAGGGAATGGCTCCACATGGACAGAGGCAGGGATAGATGGGGTAGATTGGGAAGGAATTCCACCCTGGGAAGGTGGGGAGGCCCTGGAAGCTGTGGCTGCCCCTGGATCCCTGGAAATGTCCAGGTTGGAGCAGCCTGGGACAGTGGAAGGTGTCCCTGCCATGGCAGGAGTGGGACTGGATGGGCTTTAAGGCCCTTCCAACCCAAACCATCCTGGGATTCTGTAATATCCCAAAGGCCTCTCCGTGGCAGCTCTCCAGGGAAAGGACAGTCCCAGAAGGATCATGTGCAAAGGGGATGGAAAAGAAGAATGATGTGCAGACAAAAAGCACTTGGAGCATCTTATCCACACTCCCAACTCAGCAGCATTCCCAGCTACTTGTGTTTGGGAGTCTGGAACACCCAGCAGGAATCCATTTCTCTGTGTGCTGAAATCTAAGGAACTCAACTTATCCATAAAAATATATTTTCCTGCTCTCTGCTGTTCACACCCAAGAGGAGCAGAAAATCCCCTCGAGGTTATGGCCATTAAAAGAAAAAAAATCAGAAATAAATCAATCCATGCAAGTCATCCCCACTGGCAGCTCTGAGGCAGCCTGGAGCCAGGGCCTGGGAGCAGAGGGGACAGGATTTTTAAATAGCCCCTGACTAACTATAACTGCTCTTGAATAACCATTCCCAAAATACAGGAGCAGCTCAGACCTCAGGATCCTTCCCTGGGAGGGTGGGCAGGCCCTGGCACAGGTTCCCACACAAGCTGGGGCTGCCCCTGGATCCCTGGAAGTGTCCAAGGCCAGGTTGGACAAGGCTTGGAACAACCTGGGACATTGGAAGGTGTCCCTGTGAATAGGAGGGGATGGAAACAGCTGAGATGAACCCAAACAACCCGAAAATCCCAGGTGGAAGGAACTTACAGACATGTAGGACCGAGTTCCCACAAAGGAGTTGGCCATGGAGTCAATGAGCTGCCCGCTGACCCCAAAGTCACAGAGCTTGATCTCCCCTCGGGAATTCACCAGGATGTTGGAGGGTTTCACATCTGGGAACAGCAAGAGAGAGGGCAGTGTGAGGGTGGCTCTGGGTGACACCTGGCACTGCAGGCTGGCATTTGCAGGGTCCTGCTCTCACCTCTGTGCATGATTTGGTGCTTCTCCCGCAGGTAGGCCAGGCCCCGCAGAACCTGGGGGAACCAAAGGCTGGGTCAGAGCAGAGCTCAGGGAACAGCTCTGCCCTGTGGTGTCCATGTCCCTCAGGGTTTGCAATTTATCCCCAATTCCATCACAGATTTTGAGTGAACCACCCCAAAAAAGCTTTTCCCACACCTCCTCAAAGCGAAGCCAACATTATCCAGAGGGAAAGGGGTTGGGAATATTTCCCCTCTGCTCTGGCCCAGGAAAAGTGAAGTCCCCAGGACTGGGAAACACTGAAAACTTCCCAGGGCAGCCCAGGAATTATTCCCAGTCCCTGCCCAGCAAATCCCCCCTGGAAGCCTGGGCAGCCCCAGCACTCACCGCTATACTGACTTTGCCCAGGATTTCCTCAGGAATTCTTTTGGCTTCTTTCAGCACTTGATCCAAAGAGCCACCATCCTGAAACAAAGAACGTGGGAATGACCAACACAGCAGTTCCCAGCAGGAAAACAGAGCAGCTGGATGTACAGGGCAGCAGGTGCACTGAGCACACTCCTTTTTCAGCCAAAAAGAAGATCTGGTGATCTGAGCTCAGGTTTATCACTGAAAACTGATATCACTCAGGTTTATCACTGAAAACTGTTTTTTAACAGCTCTGCTTCTTGCTGTTGGATCACTGCTTCCTTCCATCAGTGGAAATGCCAAGATGGTGCTGATTTGGAGGAGAAACAACATAATCCTCCACCAGAAAGAACAGAATGTGTCCACTGAGCCTCTCAGCAGGCTCTGCAGAGCAGTGAGTTGGCAACATTTCCGTTTGGCCAAGCCCCAAACCTCTGCTTCCTCTTCCCAAAAGTCGCTGTCTCCCTCATTCCAAGCCCTGGGCAGGAATGTGTGGCTCCCACCAGGAACAATGGCCAGGACAAGGAGCTGGCAGGGAGAGGCCCTGGGAGGGAGCAGGGAGGGCAGGGCCTCACTCACCATGTGCTCCATGCAGATGGAGATCTCCCCATCGCTGTAGAAGGCTCCATAGAAGCCCACGATGTAGGGGGAGTTGCACTCGTGCAGCACCTGCAGCTCCCGGATGATCTGGTTCCTGATGGCTGGCTTGATTTCCAAATGGATCAGCTGCCAAGAGAGAGGAAACAGGCAAGGTGTGACTCCTGGGAAGGAGAGGAACTGATGGGCAGCAGCCCTGAGTGCTGGGAGGAAATCAGATCTTCAAGGGAGGAGCAGAATTTTTCCCATTTCCAGAGTAANGCCGTTGTGCTGCCCCAGGGGCTCCTCCTTGAGCTGCTCCCGCTCGCCCTCGGCCAGCTCGGCGCTCTCCACCACCACCGGCCCCGTCCACTCGGGCACCTCCAGCCCCAGGTGCTTCATCAGCTTCATCATCACCTCATCCACGTAGCCGTGGATGCGCAGGTCGGCCTGGCGGTCCTGGACAGAGGGACATGGATTGGGACAAACAGCTCCTCACAGGGACACGGCTCAGGGGACAACAGCTCCTCACAGGGACACAGCTCAGGGGGCAACAGCTCCTCACAGGGACACAGCTCAGGGGGCAACAGCTCCTCACAGGGACACGGCTTGGGACAAACGGCTCCTCACAGGGATATGGCTCAGGGGACAACAGCTCAGAGGACAACAGCTCCTCACAGGGACACAGCTCAGGGGACAAACGGCTCCTCACAGGGACACAGCTCAGGGGACAACAGCTCAGGGGACAACAGCTCCTCACAGGGACAACAGCTCAAGGGACAACAGCTCCTCACAGGGACATGGCTTGGGACAAACGGCTCCTCACAGGGATACGGCTCAGGGGACAACAGCTCCTCACAGGGACACAGCTCAGGGGACAATGGCTCCTCACAGGGACACAGCTCAGGGGACAAACAGGCCATGGCCATGTCCCCCGTGTGTCATTCCCAGTGGGACATAAGCTGGCCCTGGGGCTGAGCCACACCTGGGGATGGGGACACACACACAGAGCAGGGACAGTGTGACAGGCACAAGGGAGCTCTGGTGACATCCCAGGAACCCCCAGGTCTGGGTGTTAAAGACTTTGGATGATTGGGGCACCAACATCTGAGCAGGAACTGAGCAGGAACTGAGCGTGTCCTCCACAGGCTCTGTGTGTGTGGCCCTTCCATGGGCTGTAAACCCCAAGAGGACACAGCAGGCTCCAGGCTGAGCTTTTACTCTGCTCCTAAGACTTGTTTAGATAAGGTTGGACAGGGCTTGGAGCAGCCTGGGATAGAGGAAGGTGTCCCTGCCCATGGGAGAGGGAACAGGATGAGCTTTAAGGTTCCTTCCAACCCAGCCCTTTCCATGATTCTATTATTTACCTGCCATCTCTACGTGTTTAGCAGGAGTTGCAGGTTTAAACCCTCCAACCAAGGACTCCCAGCCTGTTTGCCTGCTAAGAGAGGCCACCTGGGAGGGGACAACGTGCAGGGACAAACTTGGGATGGGCCTGGAACAGGGGACAGGAGGGGGAAGGAGCAGGGCAGCGCTGTAGGACGCTCACTCACGTGTTTGGTTGCCTGGAGGTTGACAATGACCAACTTCCCTCCTCTCTTCTTGGTGATCAACGGGAGGTTCCCGCTGGGTTTGATCTGCAGAGAGGTCCCCAAGGTGACAGAGAGATCGGCTTTCCTGCAGGGAGGAGGAGAAATCCAGAACCAGGGCATGGAGGGGTGGGAAGGGACTGTTCCCCTCCTGAGCAGGGCGTCAGTACCTGCAGGCTTCATCTGCCAGCGTCAGGTCACGGTCAGGCAGGGAATCTTCCCAATCCAGAATAGTGTCTCGTAACTTCCCTCTGCAAAACACACACAGGGCCCGTGGTTCTCCCTGGAGAAGGCAGGAGAACAGGAACAGAGCTGCCCTGGCAAAGGGAACAATGACCAGAGCCTGTCCCGCCCTCCCTGTCCCCACACTGAAGGGATGGAGAGCACCCAGAGAGATCCTCGTGCACCTTGGGCTGCTTCTCCCAAATCTGAGGGGCTGTTGGGCTGTGCCCCCCTCCCACATCCCAGGAGGGATCCCTANCCGGGATTGCAGCGGACACGGGTGGAAAGACGAGTCAGGAGTTTGATCTCAGCCCCTCTGAGTCAGCAGCCAGGAGCATTTTCACAAGCTCTGGAGGTGTTGTAAGAAGGTGCTCCCAGATCAAGGAAACCACAGAAAAGAAAAAGCCCCTGTGAAGGTTCTGCACGAGAACGAGCAGCGGCTTTTGGGGCCGCACACGGGGTCAGAGCACAGCAAGGAGGGAAACACCCAGGGCTGGAGAAAGGAGACCCTGCCCTGGAACTGGGTGAGCTGCAAGGCCCCTTCCAACCCAAACCACTCCAGGATTCCACAATCCCAGCAGCAGGAGGGAGGAGGGACTCTGGAGGAGGCAGAGCAGTGGTTGTGCTGCTCCTGCCAAGCACGGCCTCTCCCAGCAGGCAGGTGAAGCAGCTCCTGGTTTTCCACTCTGTGGCACCACAGTGGATGTTCCCAATGGAGCCAAGTCTGAGAGGAACCTCTCAGGAACCTCTGTCCCTGCTTGGGATGACCTTGGGATGTGTTAAATGGGGCTGAGGGATGCGTGTGCCAAACCCATCCTTCCCACTGCCACTTCTTCAGTCACGACCTACAATCCTCAGGAGAGCCAATTCCAGTCACTTTGTCCATCAGAATTGGGGAAAAAAAATAAACTCCTATTTTCCAGAGCCCAGGGATCTGTCACTGGGAGTGCAGCCTCTCCAAAGGAGAGAGCTCCATCTGGGAGCAGCCAGGCCTCTGCTCCTGACCATGGTGAGGTGGTGAAAGTGCAACTGCAGAGAAAATCCAACCAAAGCCAGCCCTCCCTGAGCCATGGAGAGCTCCAGGTGGCCCCAGCACTCCCAGCCCCTCGTTACCTTGCGTGCCATAACGAGCCCTGAGGGTTTGTGCTGCACTTTGGTGACCACCCCGCCATTGCCAGCGCCCAGCTCGCAGATCCTCTCGAAGTCATCGTCCTTCAGCTCCCCCACTTTGGCTTTCTGTGTCAGGAAAGCTTCCAGGCGCTTCTTCTGCTGCTCATCCAGCTCCAGCTCCTCCAGCTTCTTCTGCAAGTCCACCAGGTTAGCCCTGGAGAGGGGAGGAGGAGATGGGAGATGCTCAGCACCAGGGAAAGGAGGGTGCAGCTCTTAGGAAATGATGGAAAATCATCCCCTGACATGTCCTGAGCCCCCACAATGGGATCACCTGGAGAAATCCCTGCCCAGCACACACAGCCCCTCTGGAGAGGAGCTGGGGAGCAGTCAGGTGTTTTGGGAGAGCCAAGGAACAGGAAGAATCCTTGGGCCCTTAAAGAGGCAGCAGCAGATGCTGCTCCCTGTCCCGGGGAGCCAAGCTTGGCTTTGGTGTGTAACATGAGAAGGGCTTTCCATGGGGTCCTGCAGCCCTGTTACACCCCCACCCCAAATCCTGAGCACAAAGGGGGGTCTGTGCTGCCCCAGCAGCAGCTGCCGAGCCCCCGCCACCCGTGCCCGCTCCNTGGGGGCCTGGCCCGCGGCGAGATGCTGGGGGACTCTCCCTCCGCCCCGTCCACCACAGGACGGCCAAAAATTGCTTCCAGTTCCTTGGAGTCTGGCGGGGGGATTGGGTACCTTCCGATCGACAGCTCCACCAGGGACAGCCCCATGCTCCAGATGTCCGACTGCACCGAGTAGTGCGTGCCCTGCAGGCGCTCGGGCTGTGGGAGAGGAGGGGACAGTGGGAATGGGGATAATGGGAATGGGCATGGGGATAATGGGAATGGGCATGGGGATAGTGGGGATAATGGGAATGGGGATAGTGGGAATTGGGATGATGGCACTAGGAATGGGGGATAATGGGGATAATGGGAATTGGGATGGGGATAATCGGGAGAGCCCTGCAGGCGCTTGGGCTGTGGGAGAGAGATGGGGATGGTGGCACTGGGAATGGGAATAATGGGGACAATGGGGACAATGGGGAGAGCCCTGCAGGCACTAGGGCTGCGGAGGGAGATGGGATGGTGGGAATGGGCATGGGGATAGTGGGGATAATGGGAATTGGGATCATGGGGGTAATGGGAATGGGGGTAATGGGGATAATGGGGAGAGCCCTGCAGGCGCTTGGGCTGTGGGAGAGAGATGGGGACGGTGGGAATGGGGATAATGGGAATGGGGGTAATAGGGATAATGGGGAGAGCCCTGCAGGCGCTCAGGCTGAAGGAGAGGAGGGGATAATGGGAATGGGGATAATGGGAATGGAGATGAGGATAATGGGGAGAGCCCTGCAGGTGCTCGGGAGAGATGGGGATGGTGGGAATGGGGATGGGGATAATGGGGATAATGGGAATTGGGATGGGGATAATGGGGAGAGCCCTGCAGGCACTCAGGCTGCAGGAGAGGAAGGGATAATTGCACTGGGGATGGGGGATGATGGCACTGAGGATGGGGGATAATGGCACTGGGAATGGGAATAACAGGGATAATGGCACTGGGAATAACAGGGATAATGGGGAGAGCCCTGCAGGGGCTTGGGCTGCCGGGAGAGGAGATGGGGATAATGGCACTGGGAATGGGAAAGCACAGGGAGGGGCTCAGAGAGAATGGGAACAGGGATAATGGCACTGGGAATGGGCAATAATGGCACTGGGAACGGGCAATAATGGCTCTGGGAATGGGCAATAATGGCACCCAGGGCACAGGGAATGCAGGGTGACATGGAATGCCGGTCCCCAGAGCATGGGAACACCCNTTCTCCCTGGGATGTAGAATCCAGCCAAGCCCCCATCCCGGAATGGAGATCCCAGCCCAGTTTCCCCCCAGGGCTCACGTACTTCCCACATTTCACACACTCTTCCACAAACATGTTCCCGTGGAGCTCGGCCAACTTGTCCCTGTGGGAGAAAGGCACAGGTGAGTTGGGAAAGGGTGGGGAAGCCTGGAGGGACCCCACCTCCTCCCCAGGAACCTCAAGGGCTTCTCTGCATTCCAGCCCTGCCAAGTGATGGGTTCATCCCCCAACAGGGACTTAAGAAGGGACAGCAGATCCTGGCCTTTTAATTTTAGTGTTTCCATCTGCAGCACTGATTGCAGCTCCTGATCCACTCATATCTCTGCTCCTGGGAGCATCCAGATCTTTGCTTTTCCAACACCCAACATTCCTGTCTGTCCCTGTGCTGTTCCAGCCCTCTGACACCTGTTTTACCTAAAATTCCCCCGAGGCTCAGAGCAGAAGCCAGAGGAAAACACGGCCATGCTCTCCCTGTTCTCCTCAGAGCCCCACGCTCACTGGGAACTTCCTCCAGGCTGCCTGAGACAGGACTGACTTGATTTCCCCCCAGTTTGGCCCCAGTTCAGCTTACTCAAGCACAGGCTTCATTTGGGAGGCAGAGCTGGGCTGAACTGAACAGGAGCCAGTGGCTGCGGGCTGTGGGAGCACCGTGGAATTCTGTCATCATTCCCTGCTGCTTTTCCCATGGCTGCTTAGATTAAACACACAAACACGGGGCTGGGAGCAGGAGCCGGCACTTGGGGCTTGTAGTGGCAGGAAAAGCCCTGGAGCTCTGGCTGAAGGTGTTTGTGAGAGGCACCTTCTCCAAGGACACACGGATGCTCCTCAGTCACATCCAGACTCACAGAATCACAGAATGGGTTGGGTTGGAAATGACCTGAAAGGATCAAACCCCCCCCTGCTATGGGCAGGGACATTTCCCACTGTCCCAGGCTGCTCCAAACCCCATCCCTGACTGTTCCCAGGGATCACAGAATGTCCTGAGCTGGAAGGGATCCACAGGGATCACTGAATTCAAACCCTGGCCCTGCACAGAGGCATGAGATGGGCTTTAAGGTCCCTCCCAACCCAAACCATTCTGCGATTCCATGATTCCATAATCTGTTTTTCCTGTGCACAAACAGACCCTCTGCCTCAGAACCAGAACCTCTCCCCTCCAAATTCCAGCTGGTTTATCCCCTTCCAGCTTCCCTTTCCCCACATCAGACAGGGCAGGGACTCCCTGGGGATGAAACCCTCAGTGTGGGGCTGGGAAATACCGTGGGAATCCCGAGCGCACGTGCAGGCCGTCCACGTTCTGGCTGACCAGGAATTTCAGGATCCCCACCCTCTGCAGCCCCAGCAGCGCCATGTGAGTCTTGGAGGGCCTGGCATTCTCGAAGGTGGTGTCGAATTTTGGGGAGAGCCCTTTCTCTTCCATAGTCCACACACCATTGGGGCCCCTGGGAAGAACAGGGAGGGAGAGCTCAGGCTCCAGTGCCCCATCCTTGGGAGGAGCAGAGCTCATGGATCAGCAGGATTCTGGGGGTTGGTACAAACAATGTGGGGATTCTGTGGCAACAGCTGGGATGTGCAAGAGGGAAAATGGTGTTTGCAGCTGGATCCAGGATGGACAGCAGGGATGGGGCGGGCCTGGGTTAAATCAGAGCCTTCCACCAAGGATGATGGACTCGAGGAGGTGCCACCCTCAAACTTACCTGAAGTCAGGGATGCCCGAGGCCGTGCTGATCCCTGCCCCCGTGTGGAACACCACATGGGAGGAGCTGCGGATCAGCTCTGCCAGCTCCTGCACCTTCCGCTCCAGCTCCTCTGGAGGGTCAAAAATCTGGGAAAACACAAACCAGCGTGGGATGGAGAGATGGCGGTGTGGATGATATGGGAAGGAATCCTTCCCTGTGAGGGTGGGGAGGCCCTGGAATGGATTTCGAGAGCAGCTGGGGCTGCCCCTGGATCCCTGGAATGTCCAAGGCCAGGCTGGACAGGGCTTGGAGCACCTGGGACAGGGGAAGGTGTCTCTGCCATGGCTGAAGGACTGAATGATCCTTCAGGTCCCTTCAACCCAAACCATTCTGGGATTCCATGATTCCAGAGCCCCAGTAACCCACAATCCTTATCCATGAAGGATTTTGCCATCCTTAACAACAGAAACATCTAATAGAAGAGACTCCGCGTTGTCTGGAGCATCTCCGTGCAGGGACAGGGCTGGGAACACCCAACACCAAGAGGGAGCTTGCTGCTCTGACAGCAGCCGGCCCAGGCTGGGCTCCAGGAGCGACCCGGGGCCACCCCATGTGTGCTGAGCCCCAGCTGTCACCAGCAGTGCCACCAGCTCTGGGGACAGGGCAGGGCCAAGGGACAGCAAGGGACACGGGAGCCACGGAGGTGGGGACACCAGGCACTGATTTGGGCACGAGATTTAATTCCTGAGACGCTTCTCCAGCCCCATCTCCTGTGGACAGGGACGAGAACAGGACCCTGCGTGTCCCTGTCCCCTCACCATCCCCTTGGCTCAGGACAGGATCATGAATGTCCCTGTGGCTGCCCCCAAACTCCGTTTTAAGCTTCCCAAGAACCGCTGGGGGACACGGACGGAGCCACGGGGGGATCCGCCGGGTGGGCTCAGGGAGGCCATGGAAGGGGACACGGAGGGAGCTGGGGGCGGCCTGGGGGGGACATGAGGGGGCCGAGGGAGCCATGGGGTGTCTGAGGACAGGCAGCCACGGNACTGGGAAGAACTGGGAGGTCTGGTGGGCTAGGGAAGAGATAGGGACAGTGTGGAGAGATTGGGAACTGGGGTGAACTGGGCACACTGGTGGTGGGGGGCACTAGGGCAGGACCAGAGGGACAGTTTGGGCACTGGACTGGGCAGCAAGTCTCCCTGGTCCTGGGGCCATGGCAGGGGAGGGTCCTGCAGTGGGGACACTGGGGACAGTGGGCACACAGCACTGTTGACAGCCCTGCTCTGCCCTCACCCAGACATGTGGCACCCTGGGTTCTTCCTGGAGGAGAGCCAGGACCCGCCTGTGGTCCCCCCACCCGCATCCTGTGCCCTCACCGTCAAGGACCTGCTGCTCTCGGGCAGCTCTGACAATGTGAGTCCCTGTCCCTGTGTCCCCAGCCCTGTCCCTTCCTGCACCCTGATCATCCCCCATTCCCATCCCTATCCCTCCTTGTCCTCACTTGTTCCCTTCCCTTCCTGTCTCCGATCCCTGCCCCTTCCTGGCCCAAAGCACCTTCACCATGGTCCCAGCCAGGGTCCCTGGGGCCAGGTGGGGGGTGACCCCACCCAAAGGTGTCACCATTGCCCGTCCCCACAGCAGCCACAGGCTCCTGGCTCCCTGCCACAGCAGCCACAGGCTCCTGGCTCCCTGCCCCGGCCCAGCCAGGGCCACTTCCAGCAGCTGGTGCTGACAGAGGATGAGAAGAAGCTGCTGTTGAAGGAGGGGGTGACCCTGCCCACGCAGCTGCCCCTCACCAAGGTGGGTGCCAGGACACCTGGGGGGTGTGGAGGGGGGTCCCAGCCCTCCCTGGTGGCCCTGACCCCCCGTGTCTCCCCCAGTACGAGGAGCGGGTGCTGAAGAAGATCCGGAGGAAGATCCGGAACAAGCAGTCGGCCCAGGAGAGCCGCAAGAAGAAGAAGGAATACATCGATGGGCTGGAGAGCAGGTACAGAGCCCAGCCCCTCACCTGGGCACGGTGACACCCCCAGGGTGGCACCCCGGGCACTCTGCTCCCTGCCAGCCCTGTCCCCTGAGCCCCGCTGCTCTCCCTGTCCCAGGATGTTGGCGTGCACGGCTCAGAACCAGGAGCTGCAGAGGAAGGTCCTGCACCTGGAGAAGCAGAACTCGTAGGTGTTCCCAGGGTGGGATGGGAACAAGGTGGGGTGGGAAGTGTTGGCGTGGAGGCTCATGGGCTCTCCCTGTTCCCAGATCCCTCCTGGAGCAGCTGAAGAAGCTCCAGGCCATGGTGGTTCAGTCGAGCAACAAGGCAGCACAGACAGGGACCTGCCTGGCGGTGCGTGGGGCCTCCAAAGCCTGGGAGATGGGCTGGGAGGGATGGATG